TACAATTTTTCCTCGTGTTCGTTTGAGCTTGAACAATTTCATATAACGTTCTTAAGAAAGCAAAAGGGCGTTGAAAAAGGCTCCCTTTAATACCATAATGGCACCATTTAGAACGAGAATCCTGCACTTTACGGAACAAAGATTTTCCATTTCCAATTTCCAGACGATAAATCACGCTTCCAGCTTTATCGGGACTTTTATTGACGGATGATACTTCGATATGTTTGAAACGTGAACCCCTTTTTCGCTTTTTCAACCACCATGTATCACATATGTAGAATACTTTAAAGCTTGTACCATATCTGGTTCCGATATAAAGAGATGTATGTACATACACATACGATAGTAAGAAGAAAAAAAAACAACGAGAAAAATGAGGAAAAACAACGATTGATACAAAAGATCCGTGAATCAGATAACTCATGTTTATCGATCAGCTGATAATTTTCAATATTATTTAGAAATCCTGTTTCGCACCCAGAATTACGTAATACCGTATAAATTACATAACTTGTCGATTATTCGATACGGATCGCTGGTGATAATAATGGAATAAAGGAAAAAAATGATGCGATTATGCAACTCTTCAAAGTGGAGTACTTTTAAATTCTATATTCTTCATTTAATTTAAACCCCGTTAAAAATATTAGAAAAATATAGAAAAATTTATTGTAATTATTATTTATGTTTAAAATACCTTCTGAAATATACAAAGGATGTTCATCCATTTTTTTTACGATAATAATACTTGGGAAAGGAACATCCCTTCTAGAAAGCAATATTCGGGAAAATCTAGTAGCTATCAACACGCAGTAAAACGATTAACAGGGTCAATATCGTAGCGAGAGTACCTCTGATAAATTTGTTCCAATATAATAGAAAGGTAGGGTATAAATCCGTCCCGGTGTTTCACTTCCGGCGACAATATTCGACGCCGACGGAACGTTAAAGGGAACGATACTAGAAGGGAATTCTTTGATAGCATTGAGAGCTTTTTTACTTTTCCATCGATCCAATCCAAAGTATCACACCCTTAGCGACTCCACCTTTTGTGTCTCACCCTTCGTATACACGATTTATGATAAATATTAACCCTTCGAAAGTTTCGCAGAAAACGGTGTATCAAGATAGGGTGCGAAGATACTAATTGGTTCAGAAGGAACTTATGATTCGTGTAATTAACTTCTGTCTTAATGAAAAGGAACTTAAGTACTCTAATTATTGTACACTCGCGATCGGATCAGACTTCCCCAGAGAAAGGACTGAATATCTAAATACAGAATTAGGGTGAATATTCCTAAAAATTTGAAAGGAAAATTAAATGAAATCAATCAAAAATTGAGAAAATCATAAAATTTTTTCAAACTTTCTCTAATCTAAACAACAGAATTCGCGTATTTCCTGTATCCAACACGGCTGTTTGCTAAACACGCGTCGCTCGACCGGTCATCCTGTGTTCCCGACTGTTGTTTGTAGCCTAATTTCCCGTAGCCGATACTCAAAGCGGAGAAGTGGGTCAACCGATCATCATGTTCGCCTGTATATTACCAGAGAAATAGGAAACGCAAGCGCGTTCTTTATTTCTATCGATCGCTGTGTATCCTTCGGTCTGCGGGAAATGAAAAAAAAAATAAGGGAGAGATCCTCGAACAGCTTTTCCGATCGAGTAATCACTCGGTGAAATTGTTGTTGTTCTGTCGTCGACAACCCGTTCGCGAATAGGTGGGAAACGCTTATTTGCATCGGGTTATTGCGTCCTCGTTACTTTTACGAATACTATTATCGATTCGTTGATTGACTATTTAAGGGATGAAACTGAAAGGACCTCTGTCCATTTTTTCTTTTTTTTTTCTTTCGTATAGTGTTACCATTATTTCACCCACGATTTATACGTAATATTCGTAAAATTGAATATTATATTAATTATCAACGAGGCGTTTCTATTTGGGGCGAGTTTGAAGTCAAGGTTTGCCAGCTTCGGCTACCTGTTTCAAGGTTTAACGTTGCGGTCTCACGTTCGATCGGTGAACACACTTGACACCGACGGTGATACCGTACACCACTGCGCTAAAATGTCATGATATCGGTGCGTTAAGATGTCAATATGTCAACAGCATCGACGTTGTCACGCTACGTGTTTCGCTTTATACCTGGAACAGGCGTTCGAGAGCAATACCGTTACTTGCGTTAATTTACGAAAATGAGAAAGTGTCAATCTGTCGGGCACGTCAAAGCGTTACATTGTTCGGCTACCGAGATTTTCCCTTTAAAATCGTTCGGAGAATCGTTTGACGATTCGATTGGCACGGTGAAAATGAACACGTTTAGACGTCGCAGCTCGAACTATCGAGGTTTCGTAATTTTAAAACACGAAAAGTGTGAGGTGTCGTGTGTTAATAGGTGGCTTTGCGCGCGCCTGTTACGTCCTTCGCGAAGAATTAATACCGACTACGAAATTTATCGCATGATTTGTTCGCCGTCTGTTCCTGGGTTCTGTTTACCCGGCTGGAAATCAGAGAAAGGAAACATTTGCTCGAGTCCTGGCAAATTGAAAGCCTAGACGTGTTGAAACAGATCGTTACAATTTCATTCCGTAGCTGTTGTTGTTACAAGCACAATGGTGCTTGTAATTTTACATCTGGAAGCTAGGGTAGGATTATGATTTCTGAAGCCTAAAATTTATTGAAAAATTGAAATTTATTCTAAGTAGGGCTCAAGACTTAATCTGATATTATTGGAAATAAATTATTGAGAAAATTGTGATTATAAATTTTTATAATTACTATCTCTCAATTTAAAATTATTAAAAAAATGAAAAATATGAAAATTTTGAAATTTATCGTTTTTAGAATTTCGAATAAACTAACTGAATTCTAAACTCGTCTGTGAACGTCTTATCGTCTCTTTTTTTATTTCGTCTTTTGTCTGGTGAAAAAAAAAGGGAAAAGCTCCTTCGATCGTCGAGAAATTCGCATCCCTCTTTGACCCTCCTTTTGCTCGGGTCTTTCTAGCCTGGCAATATCGTGCTTCGACGCGTTGAACGTGATCGTCCATGGAGTTCCTTAGCCACCTACCCGTCCCCTTATTTTTTCGCGTAGGTGGACTCGAACATGATCTTTTCAGTATTTTTAGCACGTTGAATGATTGGTAGCCTGACATTTAGCTGGGCGTAGGCTTTCAGAGGAATTCTCTCTTTACGCAATTGTTAACGTAGGTTATTATGTACTTGAGAGGCTAACAATTCTCAATGGCCTATCTGGCTTTGAAGGATCTTTCGAATAGGGTGATATAAGGTATCCAGATAATAAAACAATCATTTTTCTAACAGCAAACTCTACTGTTTTTGATTCAACAAAAGAAATAGTAAGAGAAAAATAATTGTTAAAAGAAATTCTAGAAATGTAAATTTGAAAAACCTGAGATAATATTTTTCAGGCATCCTTAAACACGCAGAAGGATTTAGTATCGTAAATTTAAATCCGTCCTCCAAAAAAAAAAAAAAAATTCGAACGGAAAACTTAATCTTAGCGTAACCCCGATCCACCGTAAACTTTTCGTACTGATAAAAGGTAGGAAAATTTCCGTCGAGAATCCAGCAGGCTCTTAGCGACGATAAAATCGAGGAAAATTCGCGTGGAAAATTACCCCTGACACTCGATATATTCAGTAAACTTGTTCTGGCATTAATAATACCGATTAATCTTTCCATGTTTAATTCATTATTAAGTTGTAAAACGGTAATTTGGGTACTAAAACCATCGACTACATTATGCACAGTCTATCTACCAAGGAAAAAGATGGAAGTCTCCTCTGATTTTCATGAAAATTCGATATTTTTTTATATCTTCTGATGCGCGATTTGAAGGGATGAAACCCTACTATCTTAAAATCCAGATGTGATACGTGATCAAAAGTTTTCGAGCTAAAGGCAAACATTTTCAACATTTGAAAGAGATGAAGAAAACAACAGACTTGCTGAAGATCTTACCAAAAAATTAACTCAATCACTGTTTTAAGCAATGGAAAACGCGTATTTAAGTCTGTAGATAACGGTGTAAAAATATAAATCGTTACCCTTTTTAATAAACCACCCTATTCCCCTCGTATATGACCTGTTACGCGTCGCGTGCAATCAATGCGTCTCGACGCTCATCCGTCGCGTCGTTTAACATGAAAAATAAAACGTGTACTTTCGCTTTTCAACGACGTTCCGCTCTTGCTCTTGTTCCCCGTTCCGACGAATGCTGAACAAACGCATTGTTCTTTAACCGAACGATAAAAAAAAAGGGATAGTGTCAAGATGTTTAAAAGCGAACGGTTGATCGTCGGGACAAAAGCGTCGAGAAGATAAAGATCGTCGACAGAATGGAAGGTTCCGGGAATCGAGGAAATAGGAACGGAAATCGGTCGATTAAAACGGGATCAAATCCATCTCGAAATCACGTTGCATACGTGGCACGGTTCCCACGGCAAAACCGCAATTCCGCGGAAAGACGAAAGCACCTCGGTACCGTTAATTAACAGTGCCATCGATTCGGCTATTTTCAACTAATGAAAAATACATTTCATCCGTTCGACGATTTCTTATCAATTAAATTGTACGATCCATCGAACGATGGCTCGAAGAATTTATAATGGAACCAAGATTCTTAAAATTATTATTTTCAGTCTGAAACAAACTAAATTGAAAGGAGAAACCTGAAGAAATACGCGGCAGAAGTTTCTACTTCTTATGAAAGCGATCGTAAGCTTCGGTATTTTATAAAAGTATCGATTTTAGGATTTCCACCGATCGATCATTTTCTACTTCTCCCGATAAGTACTATGAAGGTCCTCGAAGTCTCCGAGCGGTCGGTTCGATTCAGGATGTAGGAGGCAAGGACGATGATCGAAGGGATTGACGGAGACATTCGAACGTCGTAAAAGTGGAAGGACAGCGGTCGAAGGATTGGGATGGAAGCGCGCGAAAGTGGTTTTTAAGAGAAGCCGGAATGACCAACCTGTTACTTGAAAGTTGCCGGAAGCTTCCGAGCCGGGAAATGCGTGCGTTCTTTCGGGCGCGCTATCCCGTTCAGCTGCCCCTCCGAATACACGTGCTCCTCGGGTATTTAACGAACGATCGCGTAAGCAAGTCACTGTTTCCCGTTGCTGCGTGCTTTATACGTACGAGTGCGCAGGGGTACGTACGATCGTCGCGTTTAACTCGCGCGTGTTAGTCAGTTTCGGATGATGCGCGCATGCTCGCGTGAAAAAGGATACGCAAAGGAAAACTCGCGGCGTGAAGTGACAATGAGAAAGAAAAAAAAAATAATAGAAATCACCGTGTTACCCAAAGCGACGATATCGTCGGGCAGGCTGCCCGGCTTGCACTGCCCGGGTCTCCTGTTTCTCCCACCCGTGCGGACCACCCGTCTCACCCTGGCTCTCTCCCCTGTTTCTCCTTACGCCACCCCCTCGTTTCAGCCCCCGCCACTGGTTACGCGCCTGCCGAAAAAGCTCGCCTACTCCTCACCCCACCTTCGCCACCCTTAACATCCTACGAGCCCTCTGCAAGCTCCCTTCCGCTCCTTCAACCCCTTTCTATCCGTGACTTCGACTCCAGACTCTGAAACGAACTTTGAACACCACCGTGTCTTTCCCACTCCTTTCTTTCCGCTCGAGAGTTTGACGCGGTAGCAGCTCAGGGCGCAAGCCCGTCCTTCTCTCCCGGATGGGAGAAGGGAAAAGGATCGTCGGGCAGCAGGAGAAATATCCTTCGGAGCTCCTGACGCGCTACGAGGGACGCGGTTACTTCGCGCCTCTTTTCGCACACGTGGACCGACTCGTTGTACGTTATTTTTCTGTCTATTGGAGACCGAGATATGTACATCGGGTCTATTGCGATTAAGATAGAATTGAACTCTTTTAAAGACACCCTGAGACTAAACGGTTCGAATTACTGGAAGATTTCCTTTTCTTCTTTTAGCAATGATTTCTTGCTCTAATAATGGCAATGGTGAATTCAATCGATCAGCCATTTGAAATTTTGCAGATAGACAAACAGAAGGTTCATAGAAGCGAACAAGATTCACTGTTTCAATGAATATTTTGAAACCTTCTTTTTATTTATTTAACAACGTTTGAAAATGTTCCAAGACCTTGAAGACCAAGAGGAACAGAACGATACGAAACACGTCAAGTTTTATTTAGATCCATCCCCTTGGGATGAATATCCCATTGTAATCCCTGGACTATTGACATATTCGTTTCTTCTTATCGAACATCAAACCGGAAACGAGGAAGCTAGAGATAGGAGCCAGTACTGGGCTCGCGGCAACGGAGAAGACAAAACGTTGCGTCTCCTAGAGTCAATTGACTGGAAAATTCCAACAATGAAACCGGGTGAAGGTAACGTGAAAAACGACGCACGAAATGGGTTTTTCAGGAGTGGCGCTTGTTGCTCGTAGAAAATAAAAACTCGTCACTGTATTATAGACGTGCACACGTACACCCGCCTAACCCACCCACCCCCGACGGTGACCTGCTTTGTAAACTGATGCGTTTTGCGTATGAGGAAGAGTTGGAATATAACCGGCTCCCCTATGCGCGATATATCGATCAATTCTGTGTAAACAATCGACACACGCGGCACTTTTTCCTCGATGGTGAGGAGAAAAAGTTGGGCGTGAAAAAAAAACCACTCCCTTTCCGTTCGATTATACAATTTTTTTGTTTCATCTCAATTGTTCGTAGGAAAATGGAAAAATTACTATTAATAGGGAGCCAACTTTTTACATTCCCACCAGCGAACGTATTGAATTTGCTTTACAATCCATTAAAATGGATACCCGACGCTGTTAACGTAATGCAGCGTTATCAAATATTCAAGTTTCATCAGACAAGTGAACAGACAGGATACGCGCTTCGGATGAAAATTTTCTTGTCTAATGAAAAACGTCTTCGAATTAATATTTTTTTAAATTTTATTCAGGAAATTGTATTCGTAATGTGTACTGTTTTATTCATTATAAAATAGATCTTTGTTTTTAATGGGGTCTCAAACAGAAGATCCTTGATGTCGAGTTTTATTCCTTTAGCGCTGAACAGCGACGCGGAAGAATTATTACCAGTAGAATAATATATAGATATGCCATCGCGTCGCATAAACTATAGAGGAACTTTTATAGATACTATGATTTATTATACGTATAACATGGACCATATGTTACAACATAAAGTACATTTGTTTATGATCCTCATATATCTAACCACGAATGCATTTTTATATTAAATAATAAACAAGTTGGTGAACTATTAAATTATAGTATCAATGATGTACTTATTTTAAGTTTAGTTCGAATTGTAATTTGCACAATTTCCAAGAACAAATCCCAGGAAATGGCACACAGCTTATAGAACATTATTTTATTAGAATTGCATGCAGAGCAAACTCACATTGTAGCCGGAGGAGATCTCCAAACGCTATTGAGACTTCAGCGTCGTGTAGTCGACCCGTAAGTCAGTCCCCAAAGCGTGTCTCGAAGAATCCCACAGGCATTCCCTTATCTTGCAATGTAGAGTTGATCCAGAGGATCCCCTCGAAGTAGCCTGAGGGTCCTTTAAAAAAAAATAAAGCGAGAATATAGTGTGACAGTTTATGAGACAGCTTGAACCCCTAATCGCTACAAATTGCATTGTTACTTCACTGATAATGCCTTGGTACTAACGTACCAACTAATTTGAAAGAGAAGTATCCTAACCGACAATCGCATGTTCATATGAATGTTTGTGCTTTTTTCGAAAACTATGCACTGCTTATTAATGAGAAAGAAATTAATAAATAGAGATAATAATCACCTTATGACAGTTCGTGTGTCACGATCTAAAATACCGCTGTCGCCGGAAACTTTACTAACTGCTTTATTGCGCACTCTATGATTTAAAAATGAATATTAGGAACTAAAATACTCCCATCGGTAAGAATACCAGAAAGGTAAATCATTTTCATGTCACATTCTACCATATCTAGACGACGTCGGTATGTCAGATCTCGTGCCACAAATCCCCAAATCTCATCTGAAACAGAAATTTAAGTTACATGATAAATCTATCTTACACCTCGTTTATGATGTTACGTCACGGTGTTGAAAAGGTACAATTTTCTTCATTTCTTGATTAAAAAATTAGTATTTAAACGAATATTTTACTAATATTATTTTGAAAAGAATCTCTTAGAAAATTTTATTCTATATAACTTTGTATTATATTATAATACTCTCGTTTTAATTTTCGTATTTAACAGACTGCAGAACCTCAACAATATTTTTGAGCAACAAAAGCACGAGAAACAAAGTGAACGAGTAACTATCACAGAGTACAAGACAATCGTGTAAATCACTTGAAGAACACAATTTAAAAAATGCAAACTGGTGAATGGCAAGCCCAATATTCCTAACATGATATTTTATCAGAAATATTTCATCCTTTGATTAATTCATTTTATTTGCAGATGAAAAGAGTAGTGAATTTTTACAAAAGGTTAATTTAGAAAAGGATAAAAGAAGATTAAAATACTCAGATTTGATGTATATGAAACAAGCAGAAGAAGTAGCTCTCTATCGGGCACTGAAATATAAACAGACTCGTAAACGTTGCATAGTAACAGGTATTTCTTTAGCTTGCTGTGTTGTGGGAATTTACTTGTATACCATACATACTGTGAGGCAAGAAACATTTTTGGATGATCTGAATGAACCTGAGAAAGTAATTCGAGAACCAGCTTCAAACAGTAATAAACTGGTTTAAAATTATTTATAATGTCTTAAATTTGTTCAATTCAAAAGTGTCATATGTTATTTATACAACAGCAGAAAACACTATTAATGTAAAAGTATTGTAAGCTAAACAAATAATTACTGATCATAAATAATTTGCATTAAATTATCAGTTATAAATATATAAATAAGAAAATAAAAACATGACTGCTTTAAGACTTCCACCTCTTCCAACTATAAAAGAAGTGTTGAAAATATATAAATTGAGAGCAATAAAACAGCTTTCACAAAACTTTATTTTTGATCAAAACTTAACAGATAAAATAATTAGGAAAACAGGAAATCTTGCTGATTGTTATGCATTAGAAATTGGTCCTGGACCTGGTGGATTAACAAGATCAATATTAAAACAACATCCAAAAAAATTAACTGTTATAGAAAAGGATGAAAGATTTAAACCTATGTTAGATATGCTAATAGATTCCTATGCAGCAGTTAATGGTGAAATGGAAGTTATATATAATGATATTATGAAGGTAGACATGAGTGATCTTTTTCCTACAAGTGTAAAGACAGCTTGGGAAGACCGTAGCCCTAAAATCAGATTAATTGGTAATTTACCGTTCAATGTTTCAACACCTCTAATAATAAAATGGCTTCATGCAATTAGCGAAAAAAGAGGTCCTTGGGCATTTGGAAGAACTAGAATGACTTTAACATTTCAAAAAGAAGTTGCCGAACGTATAATAGCCGAACCAAGTAATATACAAAGATGTAGATTATCCGTAATGGCACAAGCTTGGACGCGTCCAGTACTGCATTTCATCATACCAGGTGCACTATTAATTTCAATATTTTCTTTAAAATTGATTTACTTCTTCAAATTCTGTTAAATATAAAATTTATTCTATTTTGTATTTTGAAAAAATAGGTAGAGCTTTTATTCCCAAACCGGATGTTGATGTTGGTCTTGTATCATTTGTTCCTTTAGTGACTCCGCGTACACGACATGAATTTAAAATTTTTGAAAAAGTAAACCGACATATTTTTAGTTTCCGTCAAAAATACTCTATACGAGGAATTGAGTAAGTATAGTTTATATGAAAGTCTTACTGTGTTATCTAAATATTACCGTACATAATTTTATTTATTCTTTAGAACATTGTTTCCTGTGGAATATCGAACTGAATTAGGACAGATGATGTATAAACTTAGTGATTTGGATCCACAACTAAGATCAGTACAACTTACTGTAGAAGATATTGATAAACTTGTTACCGCATATAAATACTTACTAGAAAAATATCCAGATATTAGGATGTACGAATATCGTGCATCTCGGCGAATTGTATCATTATCTAAAATGAAAGACCTAAAAGTTATAGATTATGTTGAAGATATAAATGTAGAAGATACACAAGCTATACCTGAAATAATAAATTAAATAAATTTCTTTGCATGTTTGTAATATTTTGTAAGTTTGAATTTGAAAAAGAAAATATAATACATGCAATGTATAACTGGCATTATTTATATACATACAATACCAAGCACGATCGGGTTCCCACGTTCCGGTGCATAGCTTGCTTTTACACTTTCTCAGTGTATTTCTTCTTCAGTCACTCGTATTGCACTTAAACAGTTAAAAAGAACAAAATATATCTATAAATTATTTAATATTTATGTTAATCTTGTTAGAAATTACATAGAATGAATGCTTTTATTAAAATATGTTTCATTCTATTTGCTAATCTCGTTACGATATTATAAACTTTCATTCTGCTTATCATTAATTTGTATTTATGATAAAATTTTTTAAAATAATTAATAAAAATCAATAACATTTTAATTACTTCTATAGTTGCGACCTAAATTTATAGTTGTAACTTTCACAAATGGTAAATAACAATGGATTAGAACAAAATTATACTTTGAATCGTAAAAAGTTAAAAATTACAATTTCATTAACAGAATAGCGTTCATAGGTCCAGCTCTGTATATAAATATATATATGTATGTACCTATTGCAAATAGAACGTAAAAATGTAAATGAGAATATACAGGAAATTATATCTGGAACTAGTGAATTTACATATGTATAGTGTATATATAATAGGCAGATAATACATATGTTGTAAAAATACAGATAATTGAGACACTCAGTAGAAGGAAAAATTTAACAAATTATAAATCTAAATCACTCTTCTAAATCTAAATCTTCTAATTCCTCTTCTAAGCCCTCTAAATCTTCCTCCTTAAATAGATTTTCATTGATTGCTAATGCAGCTGCACCTTCACCAACCGTAACTACTACAAAAATACGAATCATTAGCATCAGAATTTTATAGCGATATGATTAGTTCATACGTACCAGTAGAATCTTCATTATTTGTAACTTTATCATCTTTCAAACGATCTATAGAGGCAACAGTTATTCCAGAAGTATCAATTTCACTAGGTTCAAAAGCAAGCCTGTCCATATCAAGTTCTCTATATTCAACTCTTTCCTCCCCTTCGTCTTCTTCTTCTTCTTCACGAACATAACTAGATATTGCTTCGTCTCCATCATCAATACCTACAAAAGTAAAAAATTAAGTGTTATAATGTTAATTATCTACATAAATTATTTATGTCATAAGTTTAAAATGAAAATACCATCTCCAGCTGCAAGCTCAGGATTGAAATAGAACATTTCTCTACCGGATATACCAACTTGCCGACCGGCTTTATAATCATTTCGTCTCTTTTCCTCATCTTTAAGAGCTTGTTCTTTCTTCTCCCTTAATTTTCTTTTCTTCCATGCTAAGAATGTCTCTAATGTTATTTTAGTCTGTTAAAATATTCAATAGATTACTCGACACTTTAAACAGTTATATTAAATACATTCGTAAAATATATTATTTATCACGTTACGTACATATATGTATGCATATATTTAATTATTTATGCTTTATTTAAATGTGTTCATACCTGATTTGGTCCTAAATTAGCTCTCTCTTTTTCAATTAAATCTTCTAATGAAATTTCATCCTTTTTATCCTCTTTCTTTTTATCTTTCTTTAGAACAAAACCAGGTGGTAGTGCATGCCTATAAATACATTTTTGACCTGAGGGACACTCCCAGAACCAACCATATTTTGCTTTCTCCACTGCTTCCAAAAAATGTTTACAAATCTAAAATGTAAGAAGTATTATTTTTTTAAAATATAAGTTTCAGAAAAAAAGATAAGTATAGAAATATACTCACAATATCAGTGGTTGGGCGATTACCACCACCATGCTTCTTTTCCACTACTTCTTTCAGCTTATCCTCATCCCATTTATCCATTGTATCAGTTTCCTTATCATCATCATCTCTCATATCACAGTATAATGAACGTTTTTCAGCTTTCCTTTCCACGCTTAAGTCATGAGAAAATTTACACTTATCTCCTTTTGTGCATTGTCCTTGTTTGAAAAATGCACATACCACTGATTTCGGATCAGTTCCTATAAATATGAAATGACTGTTATTCGAATGAATAAAAATAGCAACACAAATGAAACATACAGCTGTTATGAAGATAATAATGGTACAACATACAATTATCGGATATACTTGTTCTTTTAACTATATCTTTGCAAAAACCTTACTCATTTAATACCTTTATCTATTTTTTGTGTTTGCACAGGTTTAAATATGAGAGCTAATTCTTTCTGCTCCTTTAATTTTTTTTCTTTTTCGAGCTTTTTAACATTAGGATCTTCTAATTTCCGTGGGTTAACACCACCAGATTTTACCTGCTTCTCTACTTGTTGAATAAATTTCTGTTGTTTGGCACCTTTCTTGTTCTTTATACCGAATGTTTTATCCTACAAAAGGAAGACCGCAGTATTAAAAAAATACCGAAAATATTAAATCTATACAAATGTATCCTCAAAATATGCGATGCGGTATTTATAGGTTAAAAACATAAAGTTATCACGTTTAAATACCTCAATAACTTTTTCCTTTTTCTTCTGCTCCGACTTTTTGCTAGGAGCAGGTGCTTTTTTGGGTGGCATTTCATTCACTTCTTAATAATTAGAAGCGTAAATGTTCAAAAAATTTAATAATCGAATTTCTAAACGTATGAAAATTCAACCCTGGAGCAATTCATACATGCATTTGTAAATGTAAACGTAGTAGTAAAACATGACCATAAAATACATGTTATATATGAAATTGGCAGATATATCAAAATGTTTTATCAAATAATTTCTGACTAAAAATTTTTCTCTTTCAATTAGATTTATTAATAAAATTGAGCATCTGCTACATAAACGTTTAGAATATATTTCTATTTATTTATATCTCGATGCAGTTATGCATTAAGGTGATGCGAGCGTCGAGGCGTCGAGGCTGAACTTCAAATTCCGCGTTGGTAAAACAGTCAACGTTTCATCGAAAATTAGACCGAACAGAAACTGACTTAAGCGCCACCACATAATTAAACAATACTGACCATGCATTCATTATTATTAATTTTCTTTCCGTAAAATTGTAGTTGCAATGTGATACACTTCAGAATCTGAAAGGTATAGTTCCTGAAAAATATATAACAGAGATTAAATAGAAAAAAAAAGCATAAATTTCGCAGCCATTTCGCTCGTATTATTTTCTGCATAATTAATAAATGTACCATAGAAATAATGATACAGTTATTAATTAGTCATCAAATAATAACGATTGCCCAGGTCTCACCATAAGGAGGATAAAGTCATGGCCTTTCCAATGTACAACGTCTCGGCTTGAAATATCTTCGACAGGGTTGATTTCTTTCTACCATTGCGTATTAAACAACTTCGTTCTTTCTAAATTCCATATTTTGTGATTTTCTTTTTATTTTATTTTTAACCGACTACGAAAAGAAGGGGGTAATTAGTCAAAAATCATACAAGTTCCTTTTTCAGGAACTATAAAATTACTATAGTTATACGTTCTATATGGTAATATTGCAATCCCGAAAATACTTTTCTGAATTTAAACTATTGTTTCCCAATTAAAAAATATATAAATCTTTTTATAGTAGCTCTTAGCTTGATATCGTTTTCTAAAAGTTATCTTTAGAAAACGATATCAATTACCAGGTCACACCACGTGGAGGTGGCTACGTTAGTGACCCACCCTAAAATCATAAGAACGTGAAACCATTCAAAACAGACAACATAAAATAAAAATTTAAACAATACAATCTTGAAATAGAAAATAGAATTAACATTCTAATATCAGAAACAATTGAGAAAATAACAATTCAACAATAAAATGCTGAAATAGAAAATATAATTAACATTATAATTTCTGTAATAATTAACAAAATAACAATTCAACAATAAAATGCTGAAATAGAAAATAGAATTAACATCCTAATATCAAAAACAATTGAGAAAATAACAATTCAACAATAAAATGCTGAAATAGAAAATATAATTAACATTATAATTTCTGTAACAATTAACAAAATAACAATTCAACAATAAAATGCTGAAATAGAAAATATAATTAACATCATAATTTCAGTAACAATTAAAAAATAATTCAACAATAAAATGCTGAAATAGGAAATATAATTAACATCCTAATTTCGATCACAATTAAAAATAAAATTAAAAATAAGAACATGAAATATAATTGATGTGCAAATCAATAAGAAAAGACTAATTTATTTCAATAAAGTAATAAACGAAAAAGAAATAGGGGAAATAAAATCGCGAGTTGACCATTCAACGAGCTGGGTATTGAACTCGTAAAATTTCGAGTTTAATACGTCGTGGACGGTATTATTCATACCGTTCAAGAAAAAACACAAAAAATGAAAAAAACAAATTAGCGAGCATAGTGACAGAATGACTGTCCATCCGAAGATGGAGAGCCATTAGTAGTTCCCCTCTTCTGGGCAAATTTTGCCGGGGCTCTTCAGCATATAGCCTCTTCTTTCTTCGGCAATAGCCTCACAAAAATCACTCGCGAAAATTTTACGTTTGCTCAGACATTTGTAAAAACGTAACACGTGAACGAGCAACGATCCCTTGAATCGCTACTCGCATACCTGCACAATTTTTGCAAATGTCCAAGCACAAAACACTTTTTAATTTCACTTCACTTCACTGCACTTTCACTTTAATACTTCATTTTTGTAATCGGGTCTAGTACCACGACTACGACTTACAAACTAATAAGGCTTGGCCTTGAAAAAATCAAGAGAGAATGCTAAATTAATTAATTGATAAATTAATTAAATTGCATTTTCATTTTTCCTCTTGATTTTTTAATTTCCAACCCCAGATACAAGCTTCTCACGTATTAGAGGAGAATACGAAGAGAAACATGAAAGCTTGCTCTGGCCCTGCCTACTTATAAACTAAACTCAATCACACCAGAAGTAAACTACCTGCCTGCCTATCGCTATATTTAAAAAAGGGCAAAAATCATTCTCACAAAAATTCACTCCACGGTTCTCATACAACCACCCGGGTGCAAAAATGCCTACACCTAGGGAGAACGTCCCGGGACGCCTCCGACACCCGAGTTCAATTCAACTTTCACACTCTAATAAAATCATACCTTTTTGCTGAAATCGACTGACAAATAATAGTGAACATTATGCTAAAGTAATACATTTCATTTTCGTATTCTATTGAATTATGTAATGTAAAAATTTTTTAATTTACTCTTGATAAGTATTTTGTAATGTTATAGTAAGTTAAGATTGTTAATAAACGATACAAATCCCACATCCTAACCACACACACACATGTGGAACTTATATCGTGGTTCACTATTGGTTCACTATTTTTGTCAGTCGCCAAAATGTATTACACTTAAAACTAAACCTTGTCCACCGCCCTCCACCCACGCGAGTACATCTAAGTACCCGAATGAGCTTTGGGCATAAAAATGAACAAGGCCAAAGGTATTTTCACCTACCAGTTTTCTTCATGTGTGCTGAAATGCCTAAGCTAAAACGTATGATTAGCAAAAACTAAAGATGATATTCTCACTTTATTAAAAGTAAGAATATCGGCGAAATTTCACGGTTCCGATTTAGTATATGGGCTGGCCCCCCCAGGGGGGTTTATTTTTAATAAAAGTGACTCGACTTTGCAAATATAAAGCTTGAAGAGCAAATACAGAAAAGCAAAATTGAGCAACTATGACATAAAACATGGTGCACTGCTAATATCAGTTGGCAACGGAGGTTCTTAGGCCCCCTGGACTTGCGCCCGACGCTACATACCACCCACCCCGCCTGGACGTCGTAACGCCAGGACAGGATGCACCCCTTCGCTATGAGCGCTACCCGCCCGTCCAACACGTTGCATCCAACGGTGTCAGATTGACGGACGCCCATAGTATAGACAAAAGGACTACAGTTTAGAATATGGTAACATATTTTCATATGTTCCGTATTCTAAAGCTGCGCCTGCAAAGGCCTAGTAATGCATGGGTTTATCTCCCATGAGATGGTGTTTCACGGTCTTATGCCGCGGAATCCTTGTAACTAATTTGATTAAATAAATCAAATATTGGATTGAGTTTAAGAACCAAAAGGATTCCCACCAAATACTAGTCAGTGTATAGTCGTATTTACTCTCGCGCCGGAAATTTTTCGCAACACTACTTAAACATGAAAATCGTAACGGGGTAATATTTATTCTCGCGTTGAACATTTTTCGCAACACTACTATAACTTGAAAATCCTAACGGGGTAATATTTCACTACACAACGATATGCGGGTGGATAAATGATTATGTGATAGAGTTCGTGAGGCTGAAGTGCGAATGATGAGTGTTTAGGGTCGAGAACCGTGAACGTGACAGAATGAATTTCAAGTACGAAAGACTTGCTTGAAGAGCAAATACCAACCCCCATGGGGGCCAGCCCATATACTAAACTGATGCCAATTTCACGAGTAAAATCGGAAAAACGTTTCAATTTCAAGAGCGATTTCGTTATCAAAGTAAGTAGTTATAATAATTAATAGTATTCATGCTTATTACTTTGATATTGAAATCCGCTCATCGCGAAATAAATTCTTGTACATATAAAAAAGAAAGTGTATTGTGAAGTCGGAGGGTCATCCGACTTCTCTACATTTTTAAACTCGAAATCTATATATGTAAATATGTACAAGAAAACCCTATCCTGAGCTAAGGCATAAAATACACAAAAAAGCAATTTGCACGATTATCATTGTATAAAATGATACAGTGATATTCGCGGGTCACTATGCTCGCTCAAAAATAAAAATTACAACCAATTCCCGTGTCGCTACGGACCATTCGTCCTACGACATGATGGGAACCGGAGGAACTTTAAAGCATGCGACTCACCGATCGTTGACTTGCACCACTGCACTCGCCACGCATCTTATTGTTAGATTGACCAAAGCACTCATCTGAAAGCATAAAAATCACGATTCTTGAACGATATATGTTTTCTCTCAATTTGTTGTAGTTAATATGCTAATACATAGAATAATTCAAAAATATGCATGCAAAACTATATGGGAATAACTACACCATAAAACACGGTAAAACACATGCAAATACATCCCAAAACACTCGAAGATCAAAACCATAGAACACTATAAAATATTTGCAAAATTATAGTAAAACACATAGGGTACCAATCCATAAAACCTACTAATAAATCCGTATAAATATGCCAAAACACAAAGGGTACTACTCCATAAAACCCACTAATAAATCCGTATAAATATGCCAAAACACATAGGGTACCACTCCATAAAACCCACTAATAAATCCGTAAATATATGCCAAAGCACAAAGGAAACCACACCATAAAACACAATAAAGCACATGCAGGTACATGGGGTACCACACCACACAGCACACTAATGCACTTGTATAAAAATGTCAGAACACATGGGTGACCACACCATAAGTCGCACTAATATATCCGTATAAATATTCCAAAACATGGGAAACACTATAGGAAACACCATAGGCACACACAGTAACACACTGATAAATCCATGCACGAATATCCATAGTGTCAACCCGTACCGGTATATGTTTGACAGCTCGACCCGTATCCTTTGGCGGTCGCGATAAGACTGATTAGATTTGACCTCTCTACAGGTCGCACATGTACCGGCGCGCGGCGCGCGCAGTCAAGCATGACGTTCCGCTTCA